TGATGTTGTTATTATTTTCAATGTTTACATTAGTATGAGTTTCCACGGAGCACAGTGTTATAGTGCTCACAACCCACTTTTATCATGTTTTTCAGGTCAGGATGTCGGGCCAGGAGCGTGAGATGACGGATGCCTCAGGACTTTTATGATATGATTGTATATATTTTGATGATATTACGTTTCCGCTGACTTGATGTTGATGAACTTATATTTTGACCGGACTTTTGAAGAAAATTTATGCTTTCAGTAAACCGTATGATTTTGTTAAAATTAAAATAACGGTTTTTCCAAAATAAGTCACGTTTTACGGTAGCACCCCGAATCAGTTTTCGCAAAGTAAAAGATTCTATTTTTAAATAACTTTGCGAAATTTTCGCACTTTGATTTCACGATAAGGCGGGGTGTTACAGTTGACCTGGTCTTTGAAGGCGTGTTTTGTTTATGTAAGGGATTCTATATCGATTTCCTCCTTCTAATTTCATAATTTCTTTCATGCATATTTGCAACGTCAACCACACGTAATTGAGCTTCATGGGTGAATAGTCGGAGAATGCATTCTCTACTGCACTTACAAGCTCAGGGATATTCTTTGCACACATTTTTTGTTGTACCGACTGTATTGCCCTAAAATACCCAAGGTCGAGTATATTCAAATCTGGAGAATTAGGAGGTTGGCAAGTTAATCGAATGTCGAAGCCATTTTGTGAAGTTGCTGCTACAAAATCAGGGTCATTAGGAGGAACATGTGTCCTAGCATTGTTTTGTTGGATATAAATAGTTTCACCACAATCGGAGCTAGGCCATTTCTCAATAATAGCTGGGATAACCTTTTCAATCAAAAATGCTTTAACATTCTCCCTTTTAGTAGATGTGATTGCCTTCATCTCCATCGTGCCAGCTTGTCTATTCCTGCTATTTCTCTGGGCTAGTTGCTCTGTCACAAACGCCCAACATCCAACTTTTCCCGAAAATACCACTCTCCCTTCACCATCAAATCTAGGACGAGCAGTGGCTGCTAGAAACATGACTTTTGCAATGTTATTTTTACTTTGACATGAACGGTGAGAATCTTCTTCATTGTTCAGTAGGTAATACGTTTGCTCTTTTTTTGTCAAGCAAAACCATTTTTCGTCGATATGCACATAGTTATACATTCCCTTGAACTTTGGTTCGTTCGACATTGTGCTTTCATCAAGCATCGATAAACAAAACTCTAGTCGCGATGTTTTATTTTCTTCTTTCAAATGTGGTTTGATGGCACTTGAGTGACGACGTAGAACACCTCGCTTAAAAAGGCAATACAATTTGGAATAACTAACACCTAAGGCATTAGAAAGAGATGTAAGTGTTGTTCGTTGATGCCACTCTATCTGTTGAATCTTACTTAAATCTACCTCAATTCGTTTACGACCACAGTTCCGTGCCTTCCTCGAAGAAACATCCACATCTGAGTCGGATAATGTTCTTTTGTGAATTTTCCATATTCATTGAACAGTTCGCAGCTCCGGAATATTGAACATATCTTTCAATTCTTTTGTTGTATTTTCTTTAATTTACCATTTACACTTTTCTCCAACAAAGCATGATAAATTGCCCACCGTTCAACGTTAGTTAGGATCCTGTTCTTTCTCCCTTGAACATTTCCTATTAAAATAGTGATAACCGAATTAATTTAGAGAACAAGCAATGAAACTAGATACTCCATGTAGTCAATTAGGAGTATTGTTTACTCACATGGAAGTGAAGTACCAAAATTTTTTTGTACTAAATTTTAGCAAGTGAAGTAACAAAATAAACTAACTAATTTTTTTTGTACTCACATGGAACGTTGCTGTCAGTTAAGGGTATTTTTAGAAAGTGAAATAAATTAGAGAAATGTAAATTTAATTAAAGTAGATTTTGTAAGATCAGAGTATACTTGTTCATTGATCACTTTGGCTTGACTAGTCAGTTTGCTACCAGAGTTCAACAAAATTAAAAAGGAAATTTTGATTCATTTTAATAATTCCGCATATAAAGCTTATGTTCTTATGTGTACGGATTACACATAATATGACAACAACTGAATGTAACAAAATGATTGTAAATTTATTTACTTAGACATCAAAGTAGTTATTGTTTCTATCTTGTAAGACCTCACACTCTTTTTTTTTTTTTTTTTTTTTTTTTTTTT